ACGCGACTTGAGAGCTCACACTGTACGACACGACCTGAGAGCTCACGCTGTATGACGCGACCTGAGAGCTCACGCTGTATCGACACGCTCGGACACGACCTGAGAGCTCACACTGTACGACACGACCTGAGAGCTCACGCTGTATGACACGACTGAGAGCTCATACACGACTTGAGAGCTCACTCTGTACGACGCGACTTGAGAGCTCACTCTGTACGACGCGACTTGAGAGCTCACTCTGTACGACGCGACTTGAGAGCTCACACTGTACGACGCGACTTGAGAGCTCACGCTGTACGACGCGACTTGAGAGCTCACTCTGTATGACGCGACTTGAGAGCTCACGCTGTACGACGCGACTTGAGAGCTCACGCTGTACGACACGACTTGAGAGCTCACACTGTATGACCCGACTTGAGAGCTCACACTGTATGACCCGCTCAGACGCGACTTGAGAGCTCACACTGTACGACACAACCTGAGAGCTCACACTGTACGACACGACCTGAGAGCTCACGCTGTAGGACACGACCTGAGAGCTCACGCTGTACGACACGACCTGAGAGCTCACGCTGTAGGACACGACCTGAGAGCTCACGCTGTACGACACGACCTGAGAGCTCACGCTGTATGACGCGACTTGAGAGCTCACACTGTACGACATGACTAGAGAGCTCACACTGTACGACACGGTCGGACACGACCTGAGAGCTCACACTGCACGACGTGACTTGAGAGCTCACACTGTACGACGCGACTTGAGAGCTCACACTGTATGACGCGACTTGAGAGCTCACACTGTACGACATGACTAGAGAGCTCACACTGTACGACACGGTCGGACACGACCTGAGAGCTCACACTGCACGACGTGACTTGAGAGCTCACACTCTACGACGCGATCTGAGAGCTCACGCTGTACGACACGACTTGAGAGCTCACGCTGTACGACACGACCTGAAAGCTCACACTGTACGACACGTTTGGACGCGACCTGAGAGCTCACACTGTACAACACGACCTGAGAGCTCACACTGTACGACACGTTTGGACGCGACCTGAGAGCTCACACTGCACGACACGACCTGAGAGCTCACGCTGTACGACACGACCTGAGAGCTCACGCTGTACGACACGACCTGAGAGCTCACGCTGTACGACACGACTTGAGAGCTCACGCTGTACGACACGACCTGAAAGCTCACGCTGTAAAGTTCTCTTTGTAAACGTACTGACCTTGAAGTCGGATCTCGGTGTTATTTCGTTTAAAACCTGCGCGCTCCACTGTTATTTCCTGCCAACGTCTCTCTCTGCTGATAGGACGGGCATGCAGAGTCGCAGTGAGGAACAGAGAAACGTCTCGTGGTGTCCGGGGAACATTCTCCGTCTTTATCGGGACGTTTTGAAGCTTTAAGGTTGAAACAGCTTCATGTCTTCATTTAACAGAACTCATCTGAAGATGGACGGTCACCATGGTGACTGTAACAGAGGCTGAATCAAAGACGACCCTTCTAATACGAAGAGAGTAAAGTTGGCAGGTGTATCCTCTGAGGAGTCTGATGGTGCGTCCTGAATCCTGCTCTCCATCTCCTCATCCTCCTCTCCTCTTCGATGGACTCTGCATGAACTCCTTCAAACGTCCTCTGATGACATACAGACTCATGTAAAACTGAAAAAATAAAGGGTCAGAGACCAGAGCCCTGAGGAGCTCCTGAGTGTGTAAACGTCCCACGTTCACTAATAAACATAAACACACACTCTGATACACACTGTGGTGATAATTCATTTCTGTCTTTACTTTTCTTTGTTTTTATTTAATGTTTCTTCAAATCAAGAAGCAGCTGTTGACCAAACACCCCCCCCTCCGATCCAAACCTCCACACCAGACAAAGCTGATGAGTATTAAAAAAACCTGCTGTGATAGTATGTCCAGCAGTCACCTCCTGTCGTCGTGGTAACCTGCTGACTGAGGCTCAGTGCTGCCCCCTGCAGGATACATCTAGAAAACCAGACAGGGCAGTTTCATCTAAATGACACAACACACACACACACACACACACACACACACACACACACACACACTGACAGCTGGCCGCTGTTTGTTTTTGTCCAGCGTGTGTGTGTGTGTGTGTGTGTGTGTGTGTGTGTGTGTGTGTGTGTGTGTGGTGGGTGTGGTCAGTAATTGTGTCTATTTCTGTTGGTCAGCAGAATTCCTATTGCTCAGCAACACACACACACACACACACACACACACACACACACACACACACACACACACACATACACAGTCTGGATCAGTCGTCGGTCAGCTGGCGGAGCAGAACCCACAGGTAGGTCTCTGTTTTCTGTTAGTTTGTTTGTTTCTTTTACCTGTGTGACATCATCATGACAGCATGACCTGTCAGCAGATGTTTCTGTCTGTGAACAGCTGATTGATCTTTTATTTCATCAGATTTTTGATCAACTGATGGATAAAAACATATTTTAGCCCCACCCCCTGCTGACACTCCCAAAGTGATTGACGGCTCTGACAAATGAAACTGACAACAGCGTTTCATAACATAAACTTTTTTTAAATACAGAAAATTATCTGATAATAATGATTCATATAAAACCTATTGTAGTAATAGAATCTGTTCTCAGGGTTTCCATTTGTGTCATATCGACCAATCGCGGATCAGCTGGCTGTGGCTGTACAGGAAAGAGAAAAAAAAGTTTTAAAAAAACTCTCACAGGTGATGGTGATTGGCTCCTGCTGGCGGAGGGTCTGACATCATCACCAGTCAGGTCCAGGATGTTCAGGTACACTCCTCCCTGGCAGGTTCTCTGTCAGAGTCTGGACCACGACACCAAGGTGAGACAAACAAACAAACAAACAAACAAATGGATGTGCATGTGCGTGTGTGTGTGTGTGTGTGTGTGTGTGTGTGTGTGTGTGTGTGTGTGTGTGTGTGTGTGTGTGTGTGTGAGTCCAGCAGGGGGCAGCAGAATAACATTAATCATTAACAAATATTAAAGGTGAATGCTCTGGATTTGTTTGGACCAGAGAAGGTAGGCGCTTTTAAGAAACTCCCCCACACGGCCGTTTTGGACGCCCCTCGGTTTGTTAGATATGAGAGCAGTTATCAGGTCAACAGGTGTTGCAGCGATGGAAGCGGTCAAGAGAAGTGGTTCAGATAGAAGTGATTGTACCCGACCTAAAAAGCCTCTGCATGTTTCTAATAAGCTCCACGAGCAGAAACGTGCTCAAACTAGGATCAATATTGGAGATGCTTTTGAAAAATGGAGAGAGGTTAGAACACAGAAAGGTTTACAGACCCATGCAGAGCTGGATAAACACTGAAGCTTCAGAGTCCACCACATGGTGACCTGAGTGAGCATCCACTCTAGAGAGGAGGGGGGGGGGCAGCTCTCTATGATGTTTAGAATTTAGACTGCAGTACCCGTTTTAAACACTAGGTGTCAGAGTTACATACTGCTCCTTTAGGGGAAAAGATTAATTGACTTTTATCGATCAGGTATCAGGTGGGCACACTCCAGGAATCTGGTTTACTTTAAGTACTCAAAGGGAGAGAAACAGACTTTACACCTCAGAACTGAAGACCCCTGCTGCCCCCTCCCCTCCTCACAGTCCTCTGAGCAGCAAACATTCATGCAGTGATGACAAAACACCACTGGGGGGTGCCAGTGTTGTGGATGTGATTAACAGGTTCAAAGTTTACTGAGAGAAAAGTTTACAAATTAAGTTTATGAATTAAGTTTACAAATAAAGTTAAGAATAAAGTTTATGAATAAAGTTAAGGTAAAAATTAAGGTAAAAATACAAAAACTGAAATAAACAAAGTATTGACTTAAAGAAAGTAAAATATGCACCAAAGAACGTCATCAGCAGGTTTACAGCATCCAGAGTCCAGAGGATGGTCCTCACATGTGTGTGTGTGTGTGTGTGTGTGTGTGTGTGTGTGTGTGTGTGTGTCTGTGTGTGTCTCTGTGTGTCTCTCTGTGTGTGTGTGTGTGTGTGTGTGTGTGTGTGTGTGTGTGTGTGTGTGTGTGTGTCTCTGTGTGTGTGTGTGTGTGTGTGTGTGTGTGTGTGTGTGAGAGAGAGTGCGTGCGTGTGTGTCGGAGTGGGCGGGGCCTCTGATTGGACGATAGGAGCTGAACTTTGTCTCTTCAGTTTGAGCGGCTGACAGGAAGCGGTGTGAGGTAAGACTCTGCTCTCAGCTGAAACTCTTTATATCATAATTAATATCATATTTAATCTTTATTCTTCATCAAATTAAAACATCTGTTGAATTATTCTCTTGAAGTAAATCGTTGGTATAAATGAAGTGAATGTAAAGTCTGATGGCGTCTGTCAAACACAGCCCTGAGCAGCAGAGGTCATGATCAACATTTATTATTTATAAAATCCTCTTGTGAGGATTTCACTTCTTGTTTCATGTAATTATATTCATTATTGATCCGTTCAAACTCTGTGTCTGATATAAAAGTTTAAAGGGATACTTCACCATGAAACATGAATCTGTGTTGACATTGGGTCGTGTATGTAGAAATGTGAAATACATTTTGAAGTTGATGCCTTCTTGGCCGAGAAAAGGCAGAAAGTGTCTTTTTGGCTCATGTGGATGAAAGACACCAACTCCCAGAATGCACAGCACCACAGGCCACTCCCACTAAGGTCAGGTTTACAGACTACACATATGGCCATTTCCTCAACTGATTCAGAGCAAACAGACTCTATGTCTGTGTTCAGTGAGAGCACCGACACTACCAGTCTGCCCCAGCTCCAGCCGGTCCTCACCGCCGCCGACCAGCGGCTCTGCTGCAGCTGAGGCATAAGACCGGCCTGTCGGCAGCAGGCGCCTCGCCGCTATATTGCGTCTCGTTGAGATAACCATGAATATCTGATTCCAGCACAAGACCTTCAGAATCCCCTTCATCCACATCAGTTTGAAGTTTAAACATACTTTTATCATACTTTCTCCATAGAGCCTGTTAGCATAGCATCAAAGCAAGATGGCGGACGTTAAGCAGAAGAAGATTTCTGCGTCATCAGAGGGGCTGGATGCACCACCATTCAGAAACACTACCAGGTTTCTAATGATACAAAGATTAATGCTAATGGGTGAAGTATAACTTTAACCAACAGACTTAAAAACAACAGGAGTGAGCGCCCCCCGCAGGCTGCACTGCTCACTGCATACAACATGAGTGTGTGTGTGTGTGTGTGTGTGTGTGTGTGTGTGTGTGTGTGTGTGTGTGTGTGTGTGTGTGTGTGTGTGTGTGTGTGTGTGTGTGTGTGTGTGTGTTATCAGCTGACTGCAGACTGAGGCGGGGCCGTTTATCACTCACACACTGATGCTAACGTAACGTTTTTACCAGCACTGATGTTCAGGAACTCTTAAACGTTAAAGCAGTAACCTGAAGCTGTTGTTTCCATAGTAACAGGTGAGCATGACCTGAAGCTGTTGTTTCCATTGTAACAGGTGAGCATGACCTGAAGCTGTTGTTTCCATAGTAACAGGTGAGCATGTCCTCTGGTTGTTTCAGAGACTCTCTACAGACGGCCGTCAGGATGTTGTAACTCGCTCTGCTCAGCGTCTTCCTCACACAGCCCCTTCTGCAGCGCCCCCTGCAGCGCCCCCTGCAGCCCCCCCTGCAGCCCCCCTGCAGCGCCCCCTTCAGCCATGGACAGCATCCCTAAGAAGTGGGTGCTGAAGCCACTGTCCCCGCTGCTACAACCTTCAGACCTGCGCTCCATCGCAGGCCCCGCCCTCAGCCCCGCCCTAAGCCCCGCCCCTGACATGGAAGATCCTGTCCTCGGCTCTGACATCATCTCCATTACACGCAGTCAGTCCTCAGTGGTTGTCTCCTCTCAGGGCGACCGCTTGAGGGACGTGGTAGTTCAGGCGCGAATGGTGGCGGTGTCTCAGGATGGAGTCCCCACCAGTGAGGAGTGGTGTCCCAGTAGTCCCAGTAATCCCAGCAGTCCCAGCAGTCCCAGTAGTCCCAGCAGTCCCAGTAGCAGCTCAGGGTCTCAGTGTGGGTTCTACTCGTTCGTGGAGGATCCAACCAGTCCTGAGGCGGAGCTGAATGAAGCCTGGATGATCTCTGCAAAGCGGCAGACGCAGCTGGCCATCCTGAAAGAGGAGAAAGGATTTAAACTTCAGACCTACAGCAGCAGCAGGAAACCAGAGAGTCTGTTCTTAGAGAGCAACGCAGACTCCTCGTACAAAGTGGATTCAAACAACGGTGTCTCGGTCGTCTGGGAGGAAGAGGAGAGGCAGCTTCGAATGGAGATCATTCGCAGCCAAGCACAGAAGAAGAGTCCAATATTCAAAGTTCCTCTGGATGTGGATCCCTGCAGATCTGCAGAAACCCTGATTGAAGGATTTAGTGTGAACTACAGTCCTGTCACATCCAGACCAGATCCGCCTGGCCCTGCTGAGCCCGTAACCATTGACAAGGAGCAGATCAACTTCAGCACCGCCCGACAACAGTTCCTGAAGATTGAGCAGGACCGACTGACTGCACTCCTCAACCCGCTCAGATCCTCGATAACACCTCAGAACAGGTCTCTGCTCAGAGACCCTGAAGGTCCAGCATCAAAGCAGGAAGTGACCTGTGATGTGGAAGTAAGCCAGGTTACTCCGAGGTTCAGACCCACAGAAGAAGAGGAGAGCTTCCCTCAGAGGAAGGTGAAAATGTACCGGACTGAGGACAACCTGCAGAGCAGTGTGTTGGATGAAGTGGACTCAGGCCTGGAGGATCTGTCTTTGGAGGTGTTCACTGACAGGTCCATGAGTGAAACCCCGATTGAAAGGGAAATCCGGTTAGTTCAGGAACGCGAGGAGAACCTCCGCCGCTCTCGAGGCATGAAGCCAAGCGACAGCAAAGCAGAGATGATCCAGATCAGAACCAAACGTTTGCAGTCGCTACAAACTCCGCTCAAAGCCAAAGACAAGACCCGAGTCAGCTTTGTGTTCCAGCGTGAGATCCAGAAAGAGAACCAGAGGGAGGAAGAGCCCCAGCAGCAGGGAGGACTCCTGGGTCGGTATAGTCTCAATCCTCCACAGGAGGCGGGGCACATAAAGAGCGAGTTTGATCAACGAGACGAGGTGGAGGGCTCAAAACCAAGACCTCTATCTGAGTCTGAAGAAGTCTTTCCGTCTCCTTGCTGTCCTCACCGACATCCGGAGGAAACCGAATTCTACACCAGCAAAACCAGTTCAATGTCTTCTTTCCTCTCAGCGAGGGATCGAACAACATCTTCATCCTCCCACTCCTCTCCATCACTGACCTACCAGCATGACTCCAACTCAACCACACCCCGGTCCTGGAGAGAGAACCTGGAGTCCACAGGCCTGCAGTCCAGGGGACAAGGAGCTCCAGATTTCATTGAGAAGGAGATCCAGGAGGCCCTCAGGAGGGAGCAGGAGCTGAAGGAGCTGAGGGAGTCCAGGGAGGATCGACAGCCCTGCTCTCCAGCTCCTCTGGTGGAACAGGCTACCAAGATAGCTGTCAGTCAGTTCTACCCTCCTCTAAGGACAGGTGAGTCATCTTCATCACGGCAGGGTACCAGGCCCTAAAGCACCAAAACCCTCCAAACCCAACAAACCCCCTAACCCCCCTGTTCACTGTTTCTTAGTCCTCTCTAAGTATCTTAAATGGTAATGACTAACTTTTATTATCCAATCCCATGTGAATTTTGCCAGCTATAATAGAATTATCCTTACGGCGCTGTTACACTAGGCCTAGTTACCTGTACCATACCCATAACCCCTAACCCTAACCCAGTTACCTGTACCATACCCATAACCCCTAACCCTAACCCAGTTACCTGTACCATACCTGGGCACTTTCGTTCACCCCTCCCCCGATGGCCTCCACTCACACCACTCCAGACCCAACCTGACCTGTCCAATAATTAACTGTGGAAACACAGAGAGACAGCAGCATCAGGAGTCGTTAAGCTAAGCTAAGATAGCTGTTTCCCTTTGGTCCCAGTGATTATGCTAAGCTAAGCTAAGATAGCTATTTCTCTTTGATCCAAGTGTTTATGCTAAACTAAGCTAAGATAGCTGTTTCCCTTTGGTTTAAGTGTTTATGCTAAACTAAGCTAAGATAGCTGTTTCTCTTTGATCCAAGTGTTTATGCTAAACTAAGCTAAGATAGCTGTTTCCCTTTGGTTTAAGTGTTTATGCTAAACTAAGCTAAGATAGCTGTTTCTCTTTGATCCAAGTGTTTATGCTAAACTAAGCTAAGATAGCTGTTTCCCTTTGATCCAAGTGTTTAATGCTAAGCTAACGCTGGCTAACTGTAGCATCAGGCTAAACAGGACTCATTCCTCAATGGCAATCGTGATGATGAGCAACACGACATAAAATAAACGAAGTTTGGTGTGTCTGTGAGTCTCAAACAGACGGGACAAAGAGTAACTGACAGAGAGGACGACCAAAGTCCGTCACACACACACACACACACACACACACACACACACACACACACACACCAAAGTCCAGCAGCAGTTAGTGTGAATCAGTAACAGAGTCCAACACAGACAAACACAAGCATGCATGTACTCAAGCACCAACACACACACACACACACACACACAAACACACACACACACACACACACACACACACACACACACACACACACACACACACACACACACACACACACACACCACAGTCCAGCTGACATTACAATCTGTCACATATGATGTCACTTATGATGTCACTCATGTTCTTTCTGTTGTGTTTCAGATAAAACCATCTCTTGGTCCTCTTCTCCTCGTCCCTCTGCCCATCTGCCGTTCATCACCGCTCAGCCATGGACCTACTCCCCTCCCTCCTCCTCCTCCACTTACCTTGTCTCCTCCACCCTCCCCGCCTCCTCCACTGCGGGGTTCCAGCAGGCCCCGCCTCCTCTTAGAGGACTCACAGAGACTCTTCTTCAGGACCTTGAGGAGAGACGAGTTCAGCTGAAACTGGAGGAGAGCACTGTGAGTCATCATCCACCCAAGCGCTTAATTTGAAAGCTCAAACCTTTCGGAATAAAGTGACTCAGCATGTTTACGACCTGTCAGAATAATGTGACTGAGCATGTTTACGACCTGTCAGAATAATGTGACTGAGCATGTTTACGACCTGTCAGAGTAATGTGATTCAGCATGTTCACGACCTGTCAGAATAAAGTGACTCAGCATGTTTACGACCTGTCAGAGTAATGTGACTGAGCATGTTTACGACCTGTCAGAATAATGTGACTGAGCATGTTTACGACCTGTCAGAATAATGTGACTGAGCATGTTTACGACCTGTCAGAATAATGTGACTGAGCATGTTTACGACCTGTCAGAGTAATGTGATTCAGCATGTTCACGACCTGTCAGAATAAAGTGACTCAGCATGTTTATGACCTGTCAGAGTAATGTGACTGAGCATGTTTACGACCTGTCAGAATAAAGTGACTCAGCATGTTTATGACCTGTCAGAGTAATGTGACTGAGCATGTTTACGACCTGTCAGAGTAATGTGATTCAGCATGTTCACGACCTGTCAGAATAAAGTGACTCAGCATGTTTATGACCTGTCAGAGTAATGTGACTGAGCATGTTTACGACCTGTCAGAATAATGTGACTGAGCATGTTTACGACCTGTCAGAATAATGTGACTGAGCATGTTTACGACCTGTCAGAATAATGTGACTGAGCATGTTTACGACCTGTCAGAGTAATGTGATTCAGCATGTTCACGACCTGTCAGAATAAAGTGACTCAGCATGTTTACGACCTGTCAGAATAATGTGACTGAGCATGTTTACGACCTGTCAGAGTAATGTGACTGAGCATGTTTACGACCTGTCAGAGTAATGTGACTGAGCATATTTACGACCTGTCAGAGTAATGTGACTGAGCATATTTACGACCTGTCAGAATAAAGTGACTCAGCATGTTTACGACCTGTCAGAATAATGTGACTGAGCATGTTTACGACCTGTCAGAGTAATGTGACTGAGCATGTTTACGACCTGTCAGAGTAATGTGACTGAGCATGTTTACGACCTGTCAGAGTAATGTGACTCAGCATGTTTACGACCTGTCAGAGTAATGTGACTCAGCATGTTTACGACCTGTCAGAGTAATGTGACTGAGCATGTTTATGACCTGTCAGAGTAATGTGACTGAGCATATTTACGACCTGTCAGAGTAATGTGACTGAGCATGTTTACGACCTGTCAGAATAAAGTGACTCAGCATGTTTACGACCTGTCAGAATAATGTGACTCAGCAGTTGTACATAACTACTTCGTCTAGTCATTCGGAATAAAATCATGGAGAGAGCTTTGTTAAAAACTTAAGAACCGAGTTAAGAAAATGTAACCATCACAGTTTACTAATAATTACTTATTTATTCATTTATTATTTCAGTACGCAGGAATCCAGCCGGTCGACGACGTCAACAACGAGGTACGGCCAGTTTACACTTCACTTTTTTAACTATTAACCAGTATGTTAACCAGGCAGTTAACCAGACAGTTAACCAGACATTTAACCAATCAGTTAACCAGACAGTTAACTAGTCAGATAACCAGGCAGTTAACCAATCAGTTAACCAATCAGTTAACCAGTCAGATAACCAGACATTTAACCAATCAGTTAACCAGACAGTTAACTAGTCAGATAACCAGACACTTAACCAATCAGTTAACTAGACACTTAACCAGTCAGATAACCAGACAGTTAACCAACAAGTTAACCAGACAGTTAACCAGTCAGATAAACAGACAGTTAACCAGACAGTTAACCAGACATTTAACCAATCAGTTAACCAGACATTTAACCAATCAGTTAACCAGACAGTTAACTAGTCAGATAACCAGACACTTAACCAATCAGTTAACCAGACACTTAACCAGACAGTTAACCAGACATTTAACCAATCAGTTAACCAGACAGTTAACCAGTCAGTTAACCAGTATGTTAAACAGACAGTTAACCAGTATGTTAACCAATCAGTGAACCAGTATGTTAACCAGACAGTTAACCAGACAGTTAGCCAGACAGTTAACCAGACACTTAACCAGTCAGATAACCAGACAGTTAGCCAACAAGTTAACCAATCAGTTAACAGTTAGATTACCAGTATGTTAACCAGACAGTTAATCAGTCAGATAAACAGACAGTTAACCAGACATTTAACCAATCAGTTAACCAGACAGTTAACCAGTATGTTAACTAGATAGTTAACTAGTCAGATAACCAGTATGTTAACCAGACAGTTAACCAGACAGTTAGCCAGACAGTTACCCAGACACTTAACCAGTCAGTTAACCAGTCAGTTAACCAGTATGTTAAACAGACAGTTAGCCAGTCAGTTAACCAGTATGTTAAACAGTATGTTAACTAGATAGTTAACTAGTCAGATAACCAATCAGTTAACCAATCAGTTAACCAGTCAGATAACCAGACAGTTAACCAGTATGTTAACTAGATAGTTAACTAGTCAGATAACCAGACAGTTAGCCAGACAGTTAACCAGACAGTTAACCAGTCAGTAAACCAGTCAGATAACCAGACAGTTAACCAGTATGTTAACCAATCAGTTAACCAGTCAGATAACCAGACAGTTAACCAGTATGTTAACCAATCAGTTAACCAGTCAGATAACCAGACAGTTAACCAGACAGTTAACCAGTCAGATAACCAGACAGTTAACCAGTCAGTTAACCAGACAGTTAATCAGTCAGATAACCAGACAGTTAACCAGACAGTTAACCAGTCAGATAACCAGACAGTTAACCAGACAGTTAACCAGTATGTTAACCAATCAGTTAACCAGTCAGATAACCAGACAGTTAACCAGACAGTTAACCAGTCAGATAACCAGACAGTTAACCAGACAGTTAACCAGTCAGTTAACCAGACAGTTAATCAGTCAGATAAACAGACAGTTAACCAGACATTTAACCAATCAGTTAACCAGACAGTTAGCCAGTCAGTTAACCAGTATGTTAAACAGTATGTTAACTAGATAGTTAACTAGTCAGATAACCAATCAGTTAACCAATCAGTTAACCAGTCAGATAACCAGACAGTTAACCAGTATGTTAACTAGATAGTTAACTAGTCAGATAACCAGACAGTTAACCAGTATGTTAACCAATCAGTTAACCAGTCAGATAACCAGACAGTTAACCAGACAGTTAACCAGTCAGATAACCAGACAGTTAACCAGACAGTTAACCAGTCAGTTAACCAGACAGTTAATCAGTCAGATAAACAGACAGTTAACCAGACATTTAACCAATCAGTTAACCAGACAGTTAACCAGACAGTTAATCAGTCAGATAAACAGACAGTTAACCAGTCAGATAACCAACAAGTTAACCAATCAGTTAACAGTTAGATTACCAGTATGTTAACCAATCAGTTAGCCAGACAGTTAACCAGACAGTTAACCAGTCAGTAAACCAGCCAGATAACCAGACAGTTATCCAGACAGTTAACCAGTCAGTAAACCAGTCAGATAACCAGACAGTTAACCAACAAGTTAACCAGACATTTAACCAATCAGTTAACCAGACAGTTAACCAGTCAGTTAACCAGTATGTTAAACAGACAGTTAACCAGTATGTTAACCAATCAGTGAACCAGTATGTTAACCAGACAGTTAACCAGACAGTTAGCCAGACAGTTAACCAGACACTTAACCAGTCAGATAACCAGACAGTTAGCCAACAAGTTAACCAATCAGTTAACAGTTAGATTACCAGTATGTTAACCAGACAGTTAATCAGTCAGATAAACAGACAGTTAACCAGACATTTAACCAATCAGTTAACCAGACAGTTAACCAGTCAGTTAACCAGTATGTTAAACAGACAGTTAGCCAGTCAGTTAACCAGTATGTTAACCAGACAGTTAACCAGTCAGTTAACCAGTATGTTAAACAGACAGTTAACCAGTCAGATAACCAACAAGTTAACCAATCAGTTAACAGTTAGATTACCAGTATGTTAACCAATCAGTTAGCCAGACAGTTAACCAGACAGTTAACCAGTCAGTAAACCAGCCAGATAACCAGACAGTTATCCAGACAGTTAACCAGTCAGTAAACCAGTCAGATAACCAGACAGTTAACCAACAAGTTAACCAGACATTTAACCAATCAGTTAAACAGACAGTCAACCAGTATGTTAACCAATCAGTGAACCAGTATGTTAACCAGACAGTTAACCAGACAGTTAGCCAGACAGTTAACCAGACACTTAACCAGTCAGATAACCAGACAGTTAGCCAACAAGTTAACCAATCAGTTAACAGTTAGATTACCAGTATGTTAACCAGACAGTTAACCAGACAGTTAACCAGTATGTTAAACAGACAGTTAGCCAGTCAGTTAACCAGTATGTTAAACAGTATGTTAACTAGATAGTTAACTAGTCAGATAACCAATCAGTTAACCAATCAGTTAACCAGTCAGATAACCAGACAGTTAACCAGTATGTTAACTAGATAGTTAACTAGTCAGATAACCAGACAGTTAGCCAGACAGTTAACCAGACAGTTAACCAGTCAGTAAACCAGTCAGATAACCAGACAGTTAACCAGTATGTTAACCAATCAGTTAACCAGTCAGATAACCAGACAGTTAACCAGTATGTTAACCAATCAGTTAACCAGTCAGTTAACCAGTCAGTTAACCAGTATGTTAAACAGACAGTTAGCCAGTCAGTTAACCAGTATGTTAACCAGACAGTTAACCAGTCAGTTAACCAGTATGTTAAACAGACAGTTAACCAGTCAGATAACCAACAAGTTAACCAATCAGTTAACAGTTAGATTACCAGTATGTTAACCAATCAGTTAGCCAGACAGTTAACCAGACAGTTAACCAGTCAGTAAACCAGCCAGATAACCAGACAGTTATCCAGACAGTTAACCAGTCAGTAAACCAGTCAGATAACCAGACAGTTAACCAACAAGTTAACCAGACATTTAACCAATCAGTTAACCAGACAGTTAACCAGTCAGTTAACCAGTATGTTAAACAGACAGTTAACCAGTATGTTAACCAATCAGTGAACCAGTATGTTAACCAGACAGTTAACCAGACAGTTAGCCAGACAGTTAACCAGACACTTAACCAGTCAGATAACCAGACAGTTAGCCAACAAGTTAACCAATCAGTTAACAGTTAGATTACCAGTATGTTAACCAGACAGTTAATCAGTCAGATAAACAGACAGTTAACCAGACATTTAACCAATCAGTTAACCAGACAGTTAACCAGTCAGTTAACCAGTATGTTAAACAGACAGTTAACCAGTATGTTAACCAATCAGTGAACCAGTATGTTAACCAGACAGTTAACCAGACAGTTAGCCAGACAGTTAACCAGACACTTAACCAGTCAGATAACCAGACAGTTAGCCAACAAGTTAACCAATCAGTTAACAGTTAGATTACCAGTATGTTAACCAGACAGTTAATCAGTCAGATAAACAGACAGTTAACCAGACATTTAACCAATCAGTTAACCAGACAGTTAACCAGTCAGTTAACCAGTATGTTAAACAGACAGTTAGCCAGTCAGTTAACCAGTATGTTAACCAGACAGTTAACCAGTCAGTTAACCAGTATGTTAAACAGACAGTTAACCAGTCAGATAACCAACAAGTTAACCAATCAGTTAACAGTTAGATTACCAGTATGTTAACCAATCAGTTAGCCAGACAGTTAACCAGACAGTTAACCAGTCAGTAAACCAGCCAGATAACCAGACAGTTATCCAGACAGTTAACCAGTCAGTAAACCAGTCAGATAACCAGACAGTTAACCAACAAGTTAACCAGACAGTTAACCAGTCAGTAAACCAGTCAGATAACCAGACAGTTAACCAACAAGTTAACCAGACAGTTAATCAGTCAGTTAACCAGACATTTAACCAATCAGTTAACCAGACAGTTAACCAGTCAGTTAACCAGTATGTTAAACAGACAGTCAACCAGTATGTTAACCAATCAGTGAACCAGTATGTTAACCAGACAGTTAACCAGACAGTTAGCCAGACAGTTAACCAGACACTTAACCAGTCAGATAACCAGACAGTTAGCCAACAAGTTAACCAATCAGTTAACAGTTAGATTACCAGTATGTTAACCAGACAGTTAACCAGACAGTTAACCAGTCAGTTAACCAGTCAGATAACCAGACAGTTAGCCAACAAGTTAACCAGACAGTTAACCAGACAGTTAACCAGTCAGATAACCAGAAAGTTAACCAATCAGTTAACAGTCAGTTAACCAGTATGTTAAACAGACAGTTAACCAGACAGTTAACCAGTCAGTTAACCAGTCAGATAACCAGTATGTTAACCAGACAGTTAACCAGACAGTTAACCAGTCAGTTAACCAGTCAGATAACCAGACAGTTAGCCAACAAGTTAACCAGACAGTTAACCAGTCAGATAACCAGAAAGTTAACCAATCAGTTAACAGTCAGTTAACCAGTATGTTAACCAATCAGTGAACCAGTCAGATAACCAGACAGTTAACCAGTATGTTAACTAGATATTTAACTAGTCAGATAACCAGTATGTTAACCAGACAGTTAACCAGACAGTTAGCCAGACAGTTAACCAGACACTTAACCAGTCAGATAACCAGACAGTTAGCCAACAAGTTAACCAATCAGTTAACAGTTAGATTACCAGTATGTTAACCAGACAGTTAACCAGTCAGATAACCAGACAGTTAGCCAACAAGTTAACCAGACAGTTAACCAGTCAGATAACCAGAAAGTTAACCAATCAGTTAACCAGTATGTTAACCAATCAGTGAACCAGTCAGATAACCAGACAGTTAACCAGTATGTTAACTAGATATTTAACTAGTCAGATAACCAGTATGTTAACCAGACAGTTAACCAGACAGCTAACCAGTCAGATAACCAGTATGTTAACCAATCAGTTAACTAGTCAGATAACCAGTATGTTAACCAGACAGTTAACCAGACAGTTAACCAGTCAGCTAACCAGTCAGATAACCAGACAGTTAGCCAACAAGTTAACCAGACAGTTAACCAGTCAGATAACCAGAGAGTTAACAACTCGTTTACAAAAAAGGTAAAATGCTGAAAGCAAGCCTGAGCTGTACCCACTTTTAATAAGTATCTTAAAACTCTATTTTAAACTGGTTTATAGCATTTGTATTGTTGTACATGTATTTTAATGTATCCTCATATAGTGTTATGGGGTTTTATGTAACCAAATGTTTTACATTTTAAATCTGTTTGTTTGCACAAAGGCCCAACTGGGGCCATGAAGTGGAAATTAACAAAAGCTATATACTCTTTATGCAGCACATCAGTTTCATGCTTTGTATTGAAACTATGTTAAATTGCACTGACCCTATTAAATAAATAAATGTAATTCTCTCTCTCTCAGGTCGTTGAGTCGACTCGAGTCATTCGTCATAAGAATCTCAGAGCTTTGCGTTGGGAGGCCGGAGCGTTCACCAACCTGGAGGATCAGTGAGGACCTGGAGGATATGGTCTTGGACGTTTCTTTGATTTCCTGATTCAGCTGACATTAAAATGTTTGAACTGGAACACTCAAACGACAGTATTCTCCTGATTGGTATTCAAAGACGGCATGGTTTCTCCTCGTCTAATCAGCTGTGAGCTGCTTTGAGTGAAGTGTGAAGAGGAGCACTGTGTTTGACCTGCAGATTGATGAAGCTTTCTGTTTCTCTGAATCATCTGAATCTGATTGTTTTCATGATTTAAAGTGAAGATTCAAAAAAATCAAAGAAAACAAGTACTTATTAAGTGTCAGATTACAAACTTGTGCACACTCCACTCTAAGATAAACTTCAATAAATCAATATTGGTCTGATACAACATCAGCTGTTTATGTTGATAATCGGTCATGTTTAAAATGTAAATGATGGATTATTCCCTCTGGATGGGTTAGGCGGTCTTTGCCCCAAGCAAGTGGTCACAAGCAGCAACCTCCGGTGTTGAAAAATAAAGCTGATGCTGAAGTATAAAATCCTGCAGTTCCTGGAGTGTCCACTAGAGGCTGGCTGCAGAAGTACAGGAAGTCACATACACACCCATTCTAAAAAGCCTGTTTATACAGCAGAGATTAACATGTTTACAGCCTAGTTCAAAAAACCAAATAGGTGGTGTGATTAGCTCATGTCTCGATCGACACACACTGTATAGGGGGGGTGAATGTTTTGATGACTCATCAGTTTTGATTTGATGAAGGATAAGAGTTATTCACAATAAAGCGTGTAGCTGACATGATTGACAGAAATTGATTGATTGAAATTAGTTTCCTCTGGAGGATGTCTGGGCTCAGCCTTAGAGAGATGGGGAGGAGCCGCTACACTTGCGCCTCCCTTTGGAGGTTTTAGAGGCACGCCCAACTGGGAGGAGACCCCGAGGTATACACCCAGAGTTCTAAGGAAGTATATATCCCTGGCCTGTGAATGCCTCAGAATCCCCCAGGCAGAGCTGGAAAAGGTTACTGGGGAGAGGGAAGTCTGGTTGACTTACTTCACCTGCTGCCAGCATGACCGGACCTCGGATGAGAGGACACTCTATGTGTTAGCAAACTGATTGTGGCTGCTCTGTTAGCGCTGCAGGCTTTTGTTAGCATTACTCGTATCATTAGCATAGTTAGAATTTTTAACATCATTAGCAAACTCTTACGTTTGGGTTTTGCAGAGTTAATACGTGAGCATAATTTATATTTTGTTTTAAATAGTAAAATTTGGTTAAATAAATTAATTGAACCAGGGGCACCACTCTGAGATCAGAGAACAATAACCAAATATCACAAAATCAGTCTCTAATTAATTATTTAAAGACTAATATTATTAATAATTTATGACCTATATTTAATAAATTGAAGGCAAGAAATCCGTACACAAAGCCCTCGCACCCAGCTTATATCACAACGAAGATACACCAGTAATCACAAACAACTGCTCTTTAAATTATAACAGAATTTATTTACACAAAGCAACATCAATCCAAAATCAATGAAACTCAATCAAAGAAATAACTATTACAAACTAATCTAAGCAAACAAGATATCTACAAAC